TACAACCGTCAGTATTATTCCACACCCTATGTGGGAGTAAATCAGTCAGTTTATTTGAGTCTCCAGAAGAGAGACTGGAAAATAAATAATTCGAAACAGCTCCAGTATGTCTCCCCCATTTGTTGTTACACTCATGATCAGAGGTCACTCATGACCTTTGAGCCTTATTCCAGCACAGATAACATTGTTCCTTAAGAACACAGATACTTTCTTTCATAGGGAGCATAGCTATTCCTTGTCTTTGAGCATTAATACCAATAATTTGTACATTAGTTATTACATGTCCTCAGGAGCCACACTATTTATGAAACACATGCCATTAATCCTGAAGTTTAGAAATATTAGGACTGGTTACTGAGCAGTTTTGTTGACCCCCTGAATCAAATTGAATAGACTATTTCTATAGTTGAACTTAAGTATCAGGAATCTTTGTTTTGCTATTTTTCTTTAGTTCATTTCTCCTGAGAAAATACAGAAACCCACCACAGCCAGCCACAGAGACACAAAGCCCATAAAATTATTACAAAGAGATTAAAATCACCACAAATGGCTCAAAACGACCACAACGCTACACAAAAGACCATAAATAAATGCAAACCGATTACTAATGGAAACCAAATCACCTTTGTTTCGGTCTGGGGGATTTCCTCCTGTGTATGACGGGGGCCCGTTCACTTGACATACACTTATTTTTACATGCTGCAAATGAAAATGCAGTTTAATTCCATACAAGCACCGACCAGAATTTTTAGTTTTTGTTTTATTCCAAGCAATAGAAGGCGTCAGTCCACTTGTGACAGTACAATTAAGCGTTAATCTTGGAGGGAGTGGCGTGAATGCACGAATGTCCCCGGATGAGCACTCCTCCCTTCCTCCTCTCGGCCGGGTTGGTGTGTCTTCCTTCCGGCTTGCCGAAGAAAGTTGAGGGACGTTCAGTGGCAACTTGGCTTTTACATAATGGACAGCCAGGGAAGGAAAGTGGTGGTCTGTGACAATGGGACTGGGGTAAGTTTTCCACTTTAGTTTGACGTGCTATCATGTCTTTGGGTTGCTTTAAACGGTGTTTCTGTCGAACGGTTTGCAGAAACAGGAAGTGGGACTTCCAAGCTAACTAGCATAAATTGGGTGGGTAGCTAGCCTGCCTGCCCGCTAGCTAATTTTCATTCATCCAGAGCTGACACAGAAACGAGCCGTGTATAGTGGGTTTAAATGTCAGCATAAAAGCTCAGTAGACAACTTTGTTATAGCTCTGACAATTGCATGCACACCAAAATTAAAGCAGACGAGTAACGGATCAGTTACAGCAAACGGTTATTAAGCTAAGGCGGCTAGCTTGCTAGTTTGCAGTTAATATTTAACAGCTGTGTGTCTGGTTTATACTTTGGGTCACAGCAGTAATTTGTTAAGCAAACGACTCGGCCTGTCCAGATTTATTTCTATTGTGCAACTGGTTCAATTACCATGTTTTAGTAGCCAGATTTCTGTAGTGATATTCAGCGTCAGGTATGTGTAACGTTAACTAGGCCGTGTCAAGTGAATTGCGGAACCACCTTTATGTTTCCCCTGTTCGGCAGCTAACAGGGAAATGTCACCTAACTACCTTGGTAGTAAGGCGTTCGAACCATGGACAAACCACACCAGTGACAAAATATGTTTCGTTAAGTTCTGTAATTAAGTACAATTTATTTTAGCCTGCTTGTGTTTTAATTTTCTGATACATTTCCTTGCATCTCAGTTCGTTTCTCTTCGTTACTCTTTACTCCACTAGCTAAATACATATATTTTACGAGCTATTTTTACATAAAGCAAATATATTTTTAGACGCATTGTTCAAGATTAAACCTTTTTGGCTTTGTCCACTTACAAATTGGAAGTTTTTCTACTTCAGATGTCTGTGAGTTGTTAGCTGTTACACGGTTTCAGTGAAATAACTGTTTGACGCAAAATAAATTAAATATTAAACAAAAATCAAAGATTAGCGCAGAGAAAAGTCCCAAAACTGAAAACATTTTCCATTAGTCGTCTTGCATCCCCTCAAATTTTTGTTTCCCTTTGCAGGGGCCTGATTGGGAACCACTGGACTAACATAGCTCATTGTTAAAGTAATTACAATTTATGCATTATTATTAACAGTCAAATAATTTTGTATGTAATAATATACCAACCACGGGGGATATTTTACTGCAGAATGAGTGTTTTTGATAGTTTAAATATACTTTTGTGTACTAATAATCCTTTTGCACCTGTACTTAAGATTTTGAATAGTAATTTTGATTTTAACTTAGTCTAATTTACATTCTGGTATTTACATACATAAGGATTGAAAAACTGATGAGATCATGTTTAATTTTACAAATTTTGCATTGCACACAGGCAGTACGTTGTTTGTTGGAACATAGCTGCATACTCTTTCTGAACCTTGTCAGCCATCAAAAGGATGTTGGCTCAGCATGTTCATGACTAATAAGGCTTTTTTTGAGATGTGACTTTTCAAGTGTGTTGTGCAAAGCCAGAAAAAAGACTTCTTCTGTGTTAGAGAGGAAGTGAGAGAGTCTAAACCACAGCCACGTATGTCACTAACACTAGAGTCCTGATACCTACAGTTTTACACCAGAGGCTGCTGTGAGATCTCACTGTTTAACTTAGCTTTGTGCATCTGCAGCACAAGACAAAAGACAACTGAATTGTTTGGTTTACTAGTAAATTTTATAATTTTTCACTGAAATTCACCAAGCAAGGTGGACGTGTGTGTATCAGTGCCACAGCTTGCATATGAAGGAAAATGTTAATATATCAATCTTTTATTCTGAAACAAGACATTGTCTGGGATTGTAGCTTTAGTCGCACGATACAGCTTAAATGCTTTTCTTGGTCTTTAGTGCTGCTTTCAGTCCAGTGATGCAGTTTTGAGCTAATAGCACTGCTTTCTTTCACTTCAATGAGCAGTAATTCCCTCAGCATGCTTTGCTGTTATGCACACACAACATGGATAATTGCGTGTGTAAATGTTTGAAAATTATAGGAATTTAGTCAAAAAGGAATTTATTACTAGTCTTACTAATTTTTCATTTGGTATTAACATTTTTAACGTGGCATTGTATATCAGTTTTTTATGATTAGCTATATAAGATAAAATTGACTTTGTAATGTCATCAACTGCAGTCATTCTAGTTTTTATTTCCTTATTTTGAGACATTTTTAGATTTTCTACTGTTGTGCTGGTTTTGACCACAAATGTTCATACATATTCATACATAAAAGCTGTAACACTGAAGTTTCGGTGATTGTATTTTTATCTCGGTCTAAATGCTACTGTTATCAGCAGGATGCCAGTCATGGTGACTTGCTGGACTGCACAGTACTTGAATGTATTTCTTCATCACTTCCTCTGTGCTTTTCATGTCTTTTTTTTTAGTTTGTCAAGTGCGGCTATGCAGGCTCCAACTTCCCAGAGCACATCTTCCCTGCGCTTGTTGGGAGGCCCATCATTCGCTCGACAGCCAAAGTGGGAAACATTGAGATCAAGGTAGGAAGTGGTCCACCAGAAAATCTTGATTTCAAAGACAAACTTGGTCAGGAAGCCAGTGATTAAACAAAAATAGACTGTAAGCTGGAAATGAGAGGAAAAAGCACCGAGTTGTTTTTCTTTTTTTTTAGTATAGGCACAATGTCAAAGCCGCAGACTGTGTAATTTTACTGTAAAAGATCTGTTATAGTTTCAAAATGAGCGCTCCAGTTCAGCTATGAACTGTGTTAGATAACAATCTATGCTCTAAAACACACATTGTACCTGCTGAAATTTTTGAAGCGATGCTGTTCTTTAAGCGGCAGAGGTCTAAATGTCAGATTCCCATTATTTTAGCATGAAACCTATCTCTCTCTCCTGTTCTTTTGTTTATTCATCTTTTTATTATTTTGTATCTACCCTCCTCTTCTTCCATGTTTTATTCCTCTGCGGTGAAGTAGAATGCCCAGAAGATGGTAAGTTCAGGTTGGTGTGTGCCTCCTGTTCTTGCCTGCTTCGGACAGTTGTTTGAGCTCAACTAAAAAAGCAGCTCTTCTTCTTGGTTTTAAATAATTTTTGTTGTTTTCTTCCTTTGTTTCCTTTCATTTTTTTCCTCTCACAGTGATTTCTTTCTTGCCCATTTCAACTTGTTTGCTGATTTTTGGTTTTGAGTTTGGATGTTGTTGGGCAGATGAGTGGCAGAGTCAGACAGCACCTTATATTAGTACGCTCCTTTCTCCAGGCTCAAAGTGTTGCAGGAACAGCTGCAATGAATCATAGGCCAGCTGTTATCGATGAAGGGCTAAAAGAGATTTTGGACCGGTTCCATTTTCTCTGATCTGCTGGTGCATCCTGACGGCTACACCTCCCTCATTTCTGCTGCTATTTAAGGACTGAAATAATCAGTTTTCAGTTAAATAAAGACCTTAAAATGTCAGCCTGCAGCATTTAGTGCCATGTGTTGCGTATCCTTATGTATCATAGATCTATTAACCCTACCATTATGAAACATGAGCATATTTAAGATGAGAGCATTTACTTCACTATTTGCATGTGTGTACAATTGCAGAGGAAGTGTCCATACTCAAGGATGCATGGCAGACAGCTGAAATTTGGAGATGGAGGGACATCTGTTTTTCATTTTACTTCTTTTTTTTTTTTTTTCTCGAGCCCAGATGGAGGCAGTGCCAATGGCTTGTACTTTGTTAATGCCAAAGCACACTGAATGAACCCATAAAATGGCTGCCTTCAGTAGGCTTTCGATGGCTCGAGGTGGAAGTGAGATGCTTGACTGTGAGGCTAACACTGAGATTTAACTCAGCAGTTGTTTATACTGCCAGGCTACCGTGCATGCAGCTAGTTGAATGGTGTGAAAACAAGTGTTTTACTGTAGCCAGAGGGAAATGTTTCCAGGTGTAGATGCATGGAGAATAGTGCCTTGCAGTGCATGCAGGGTGATGGAATTTTAAAGTGAAGAGCTGCTTGAATGCATCTGACAGTTGTCTTATTCAGGATCAAATGGAACATGAATGATGTGCTTGTTTTTTTGTTTTTGTTGTTGTTGGGGGGGGGGATTTTACTGCTCAAACCAATGCTTTAGTTCCTTCCCTAATCAGTGTATGATCCAATCCGTTCTTCTGAAAAGGGGATCTCTGCTGCCCTGTTTCAAAAAAATGTATCTGTTGACATTTGACCTCTCCCTCCAGGACCTGATGGTGGGGGACGAGGCCAGCGAGCTACGCTCCATGCTGGAGGTCAACTACCCCATGGAGAATGGTATAGTCAGGAACTGGGACGACATGAAGCACCTGTGGGACTACACCTTCGGCCCAGAGAAGCTCAACATTGACTCACGCAACTGCAAGATCCTTCTGACCGAGCCCCCCATGAACCCCACCAAAAACCGTGAGAAAATCATTGAGGTACACTGAAATACGTGTCTAACTGTGTGAAGCTTGTAGTCGTGGGAAATTGGCTAGTTGATGCATTTCTTACTGGGGTCAGAGGTTCTTCTCTGCTCTGCAGTATCCAGTACTCACTTGCTCTATATTAAATTAATCAAAGCACTGACATTAGTAGTTACCAGTGCCCAGATTTTTCAATTTGTCAGTATAATTCTTATAAAGGACCACAACGTAACAGTCCTTCCTGTTGCTTAACACCCAAACGTTTGAGTTAAATAAATCTGAACTTGTTTAAGCCAGCTTTGAATAGCCATTAAGGGAAGTGTGTTTTAATGCCACATTGAGTTAATCCTCTGACCTAATTTCATTCTGCTTTGTGCTATAGGGGTAATTCCCCATGCTCTGCTGTGCAGATGTACTGTGCGTATTTGGTTTCATCAATAGACCAGCGATTGTTCTTACAGTCTGATGTTTACTGGCCTCTCCTGCAGGTGATGTTTGAGACCTACCAGTTTGCAGGAGTCTACATTGCTATCCAAGCTGTGCTGACACTGTATGCCCAAGGTAAAAAGAGACATGTGCATGCTTGGGCAGCAAGTATAATAAAAAAGTATAGTAAAATATACTATAATAAGGTATAATAAAAAATAAAAATAAAAAGTTCTGTTTACTTCAGTGTTCTCATCACAGATGTTTTTCTAGATTTTTAACTCAGATTTAATTGTGGAAATAATGAGACAGTATTTAACTGCTACACCTTTGTCAAACATTTTGTGCAAAGATTTACATCTTAGATAACGGGTATGATGTTTTTGTACCAGATTACTTTGCAGTGTTCCAGTGATAGATGTGACAACCTGACATTATTAGATGTTAAACCCAACCTGAGTGGTGCTCTGAAACTGCTTGCACCCACAGTGAGACTCTGTTTTTGTCTGCATACTGCTGTAACATTTTGTGTGAGTTTAGTACCAGGAGCTCAGCGTCACTGCAGTAGATGTTATCTTTCCAGTTTTTGTGTGTTTACTCAGTGAATATGCTATCAGTCAGGAGCCCAAGATAAAACCCAGACACAACCACACCTAATGTGGTACAGTTGTAGGTTATTAACTCTAACATGTGTGTCTCTGTTTAGGCCTTCTGACTGGTGTGGTGGTGGATTCAGGTGACGGTGTCACACACATTTGTCCCGTGTATGAAGGCTTCAGCCTGCCTCACCTGACGAGACGCCTGGACATCGCAGGCAGGGACATCACCCGCTACCTCATCAAGGTATCCAGTGTTTCATAGTAGTCCTAACAGTCTCTTAGTATGAGAAAGATGTGCTGATTGTTTTAAAAATCATGCGGCTTGTGCTTCATGTGATGGACCTTAAATAATGAGACTTACTGGCATTGCACCTTAATACTTGAGATGTTTACATACATCCTTGAAAATCCTTAATATGTTTAAATCCAGTTTCTTTAAATGGGTATAATCATAATCCAGAATGTCTTGCCAGTCTTCTTGTTCTTTAGGAAGGAGAAACTGGTATCCTCCTCTTTGCAAGATGATCATAATTTTACTGTTAGAAGTAGTACTAGTCCTTGTTTAAATAAACATATGAAGGGATCACAAGTAACTTGATAGAATGATGCTTTCTGCCCTTCCTCACCATCTCTTTTCTTTTTCTTTTCTGTTTCCCTGCACTTCTTCCTCCCTGTCTGGGTGCAGTTGTTGTTGTTGAGGGGTTACGCCTTCAACCACTCTGCAGACTTTGAGACAGTACGCATGATGAAGGAGAAGCTGTGCTACGTGGGCTACAACATTGAGCAGGAGCAGAAGCTGGCGCTGGAGACTACTGTGCTGGTGGAATCATACACGGTAGACACTCGCATGTTTGAGTTTGTATAAATAAAATATAAATCTGCTTAGATTACCATAACACAAGTGACAGATGACATGTGTGGTGTCAGTGCATTAATGACTCAGCTGGCATCAAAAAAATAATTAGATAAAAAAAAAAGAGAAACATAAAAATACATAGTGGGAACATGTAAATGAGGAACTACAATAAACAGTTTTAATAAACTCCCCTGGGATGACAGTGGCGGCCCGCTATCCTAGACGCATTCCTTGTTATTCCACCCTAAGTCTCCATGTCTCCTGCTTCCACCTGTCATACATGTGACCAAAAACAGCAATAAAAATGAAAATAACCTAGAAAAATGCCAATGAGCTAACTTGTCACCTCAAGAATAAAAGGGTCAGGACACAGTGAGACTGAATATGAGGACAATGTTTTTAAGATACATGTGAAATAGCAGTAAATGTTACAAAAATTCACAGAATTTACTCGTTTGAGATCCAGATTTTGTCGTTTTTTTTCTTTTCTTCTTTTTAGGTTGGCCTTTGTTTTTCTTATTTCACATTTCCAGCCCAGCGGCAGTTCTCAGATCTGCTTAGTTTACTTTTTTAATATAAAGTGAGTTTTTTCTATGCACAGATGTTTCACATTTCTGCTTAAAATAGCACCATTGTACAAATAATCCCTCCCGAAGCATTTGTTATTCAAAGGTGACAGTATTTTGTAGAAGTCAAAACTAATGGCGTAACTAAATCAGTTTGTGCTCGGAGCTAAGTAGGCTGCCAGCTGTTTGCTCTGTTGGCTGTTCAGGCCAGGGTAGTGCTGCTGACTCAGACATTTGGGGGTGCAGTGCTTCTCCACCACTTGCTTTTCTTTCCAAGGCCTTTTCCCAGCAGAAGGAACCACAGAATCTAAACGCAGGTCCTGAAGTCTGCGTTACTGCACGCCTTACCGAGCACGTTGTGTCTCTGAGCTTGGTGTGACCATGTGTGTTTGGGTTAGTTAGTGTTTGTGTTTACATGCATGTGTACAGTTTTGTGTCTATGTGTAACGAAACAAGGAGGCTAATGTAACTGGCTAAAGGCCCTGAACTGCACGTCACATTCCCTGTGTAGCCATCTCTGCAGCGGCAGCTGGGCTCCACTTCCTCCCACTGCCCTCAGCTGAATGAAGCCTTACACACTGACTCACTGTACTCTGTTTGGGGTGCTGTACAATATTATCAGTCTTAGTCGATTTTATTTTCAAACAGCAGTAAATCCATAACTTTCTTTAAAAATATTTTTCGACAGGCTGTGGCTTCTTTTCTACATCACAATCAGCCACTGAACGGTGGCATTCTTGATTCTTATTTTCAAGATTCACACCCTTTAGCCCCCTGAGTCACACATTAAATCCTACCTTTGCAGTGGTGTCGTAGTTTCTTGTTTCCTTCTCTTTTCATCTCATTCCTCCCACACATCTACAGCTGCCAGATGGTCGTGTGATCAAGGTGGGAGGAGAGCGGTTTGAAGCCCCTGAGGCTCTGTTCCAGCCCCACCTCATCAACGTGGAGGGCGTTGGGGTGGCCGAGCTCCTCTTCAACACTATCCAAGCAGCTGACATAGACACCAGGTGAAGCCAACTAAACCCCTAACCACACATCTAACACAGAATAATACACGACAGTAACAAGTCACAGCACGCACACACATACAGATTTGTAAAATGGTGGCGTTAGCCAAAAGTGAAATCCCACTAAAGCAATAAAGGGTTTTAGGCATCAAACTAAACATTTCTTGCACAGGAGTGTTCTGGATGGAAAGTATGAAGACTGACCATGGGAATGTATGAGTGGTGAAACCTATGAAAGTGTATGCTTGGAAACCCATGATGAGACTTTTTATGTATTGCTGTCTTGAAAGCAAAATTTCAACACTGGAAAGATAAAACTAGCGACGTATGATTTTTAAGAGGCTTCTCTTCCTGCTTGCATGTTACTGGCTGTCTTCCTACTCTCACCCTCTTTGTGTCTGCCCGTCTTCAGGCCTGAGTTCTACAAACACATCGTGTTATCAGGGGGATCCACCATGTATCCAGGCCTGCCGTCTCGGCTGGAACGAGAACTCAAGCAGCTATACCTGGAGCGTGTGCTCAAGGGAGATGTTGACAAGCTTTCGGTAAGAACCTGAACCTCAATGCCTCATCAGTGATGGTACTTCTGTATGTACAAGAGTACTATGGATTGATCTGTCTTAAAGAATGTCTGTGACTTTGAAAACAGGCCACACATCATTAATTTTACCCAAATTAGAACTTGGCTAGGTCTGTGACCGGTTTAATCTTAAAAAAAAAAAAAAGGTGCTGCTGTTACAGGAGTCGACTGAACTCGCTGCATCAGGCCTCTCAGTGTGAATTAATATTTCCAGCTGGTTCTCAGGGTTTGTTTAATTTGGCCTGGGTAGGGTTTCCCACATGTGAGAAAGCAGTAAAATACAAAAAAGTACAACAACCCCAAGAAAAGTATTTGAGTCAGTTTAATGAATAAACCGTGACTGACGACTGACAGTGCCTCCTTTGTCCCCCACACACTCTGAGTTCACAGTAGAATAAATTAAACACCTTGAGTTATGATCAGTTACTACTTGAACCACATCTGTCTCAAACACATCTGCAAGGTTTGGGAGCAAAGTTTTTGATTGTGATGTCTGTTGGGTGAATTGTACACAGATGGCCACTAGGTGATGCCAGAGGATAACAAACTTTCATTTATCTTAGAGCATTTCACTCACAAAATGTGTGGGGCCCATTTATAAATGATAAATATTTGGAAACATATCATACGTTTCTGTGCCAACATCTCAAAAACGGGTCTACAGATGACTGACATTTAACAGAATGTCTACGTGTTTTATATTTCTGCCATCATCTGCAAACAGCCTTGCTCTTCTTAAGCCAGTTATCTCGTTTTATAACGGTATTGAGTGTTTCTCACCTGTCTTTCATGAAAAGTAACACCACTATGCACAGTCTGCAACAGAACAGGGGACCTTCTTGTCTGCTTAGTCTTTCATAGAGAGCAGGGGCTGCTTTAGTTCACACCTGGGGAAAATGAGTATCAAAACACCCTTTAAAAACTTCTCAAGCGATAAACTGCACCATATTCCACTTGTTTTTTGCCTGTTCTATATGCTCCATTTGCTCATGCTAACACTACGATTAGTGGCTAAATGCTCTGAACTTTGATATGTTACTACTTGAACCACATCTGTAGCCTGAACTTGTATCCATTTTTGTTGCTTTCAGCTACACGCGTGACCAATAATCACAAGCTGTGTTTTTTACCATATTTGGTGTAAATATGAATGTTTAGGCATACTGACAGAAGTCAATTATGCTGCGAGAGTTGCTGGAAAAGGTTGAACTGATGTTTTGATTCTTTTCCATCTTAGAAATAGTTACCACTGGATAAAGTTGTATATGACATGAATCGAAGAATGACCGAGCTGTCATGAAGCAGATTTTAAGTGGTTTATGACTTTAAAGCAGCATTAATCAGTATTTTATGGATTTAAATGATTGTGTAATGTCACAGGTGTTGCTGTAAAGTGCACTGTATTAACTGTATTTGGTGGTGTTTGATGTCAGTATTGTGTTTACAGCGTGTCCTGCTTCCATGTGGCCAAAGCGAATATTAATGCAGTTGGTTATGCTAAGCTGCTCATAGAAAGAATCTAATGTTGGGTATCAATATGATGCTTGTAAAACAGTGTACATGGACATTATCAAAAAGCAAAGAGGACACCTGGACTGGCTTTTCTGCTTCAGACTAATGTTCTGTATTATTGCTGTCAGCGGTTGAGCCAAACTGCACTGAAAGCCAAAATTATGAAGGCTGTTCCCAAGTTTCCCTTGACAGCAGTAAAGTTTATTTATTTTTATACAAAAACATGATTTGTTCCTCTGGATCAATTTCGAATGCAAATCTGAACATAATCCAAACTGAGTTAGGCAGCCGGACTCTTTTTTGTCATAGAGGATGATCTTCTATGTCTGTGTCCCCTTGTCTTGTAGAAATTTAAGATCCGGATTGAGGACCCTCCCAGACGAAAGCACATGGTGTTCCTGGGTGGAGCTGTGCTGGCCGACATTATGAAGGACAAGGACAACTTCTGGCTGACCCGGCAGGAGTACCAGGAGAAAGGAGTCCGTGTGCTGGAAAAACTTGGAGTCACCGTCAGATAAAGCACTGAACGGACAGACCATGCATACACACAGACACACGCACACATTTCCCCCCTTGCCCCATTGCAGAGTATATATCTATTTATCCCTCTTCTCTCTTTCGGCTCTTGATGCTCCTCAAACATCAGAGGGAATCGTCTCCTCCTCCTCTCCCTCCTGTCTGCCTCTCATTTCTCCAGGTTTGGGATTGGCTCTACCTTTTCCTCGCAAGCCCTATTTCCACTGAAATCCCTCCTTAAGTTTATTATGAATAGAAGAGTTCATGTTGATGTTCTGGTACATTTTGAAGTCTGATTTTCTTTGAGTACTGGTGGAGAAGTTTAAAACCAGTGGAAAATGGTTTAGTCATATACTGTAGGTTATTTGGTGGGTAAACCCACCAGCCACTCAGTGTTTCAGAAAGTTTATTTCCCTCCCCTTATAAAACCTCCACAGGGGATAAATTGATGCAAAGTTCCTAAGCATCTGTACTGTCACAGTCAGGTCCACCACAAATAGCCACGGCCTGCTTCAGCGTCTGTTCCAGGTGAGCGTGAACTGATCACATTTTTATGTCGGTTTTTATAAATGATATCATGGCTTTGTTTTCTGGGAGAGGGAATACTTTTGTTTGGCTTGTCTTGTTTTTGATGGATGTATGACCTAGCCAAGTTTATACCTTATAAATTGGTTGTTCTTTTTTTTTTTTTTATTGGTATTTTCTTTTGTTGCTGTGCACTACTTACCATTGGAAATTGAGTGGTTTTTTTGTGGTGTCAGAAGTTCTCCTTTTCTTTTTTACTTTTTTTTTTTTTAAAAGAATTGGTCGATTTATAAAGGGCCATGCTCAAAGTATAGCTCCTGAGCTTGACATCGCCTGTGTGATGGTACAGTTCATGGGTGGTGAGATGGCAACAGATGTGGGAGAGTGTTGCTTTGTTCCTCATCAAACTGCTGTGCGTCTGCCTCCTCTTGGTGTAAATCCTGAGCTGAATGTGTGAGCAGTTGTAGCGATCTTACGGACTGTGGCGACATTATGGTACCTCACCTGTCGTGTTCAATCAGACCCACCAACACATGGAGGCAGTCGAAGGTAGAAGATGGGATCAGTTTGAATCTGGGAAAATGGTATTTTAAAGAGGTAACAATGCTGATGAGACCATAACGATTACTGGAGGCACTTCTATTCTGAGTATGACAAATGTTTTGGTTTTTTTTTCCTCTTTCCATTAACACCTATCCAGTGCCAAGTTTGGTTAATATTAACTGGATCTGTCTTGTTTTAATGTCTTTTTTTTTTTTTTGTCACTTTTTTTCCATTTTCCTGTGTTGTTCATAGCATAACTGCCTAACGCTGATTTAAATAAAGAAAAGTGATTTATAAGGAAGTTTGGGTGACTTTTATTTTACCCCCACAGCTAGTTTGTTTCACAAAAGTGGTTTACTGAGTTATTTCAATAACTTGCTTTATGAATTGGACATTTTACAGTCCAGGCTGCAGCTAAGTTACTTTCATAATTAATAATTTATTGGCAAAAGTGTAACATGTCCTTCACAACTCAGTCCAGTTTGTCTGCAGATGTATTCATTTGACCAACACTCCAAAAACACTGTTTACAGTGACAGAAAATGGAAAAGTAAATTCCCACATCTGAGAAGGTGGAACCAGTAACATTTATACATGTCTGACAGACTGCCCCCACAACCCAAAGATATTCTATTAAAACTATAAGACAAGGAAAATAGCAAGCTTGATTCTGAAGCCATCAAAAGTTTGACATTCAAGCTTAGAAAAATTACTAAAATGATCTGGCAGTTTTTTCCTTTTTCTACAAGCCAGTTAATTCACTCTAGTATGTTGCAGAGCTGGAGGTGAGATTAGATGTCCAGAGAAACTGCACCACCAGAGAAGAGGATGGAGGCAAGAAGGTGACTGAGGCTTGACCGGAGGAGGAGGACAACTGTGCTCACAGACCAGAAGGAGGAAGAGGAAATGGAACAGTGGCAGAGCCCTGGCGCCACCAGAGGAAGAGGCTC